TATACTACTGATAAATTTTGTTAGCAGCACACACCACACTGTCATTATCTGTCAATAGGAAATAATTGTCAAAAGTGACTGGCGTTCAGAAACAACGGTTGAAAGTACAGATGGTAGGATGAAGGTAGAGATTCGAATAAACAGTGTTCAACAGAAATTTACAACAAAGATGATAATGATTATGTGAAGATGATTATTGTGTCAAACCAAATAGAATGTCTATACCCAATAAGTGAGATAAATTCTGATGGAAATCAATAACTATGGTTGAGGAGTAACGAAATGGTAAAACTATAAGCTCATACTACTTACTAGTAATAAGTAGTATAAGGTTAAACATAGGTAAAGAATAGATAATAAGAGTATTATTATTATTCCCTTGTTTTCCGAGTGGAACACACGGCTTCAACAACACGTCTCCATTTTCTCCTATTGTTGCTGTCCTTTTCAGCTTACCCCACGATCTCTCATCTCCTCGCCACACGATCTCCTCTATGTCACCCTCGCACTGTCGACCCACTCATCGCTTCCCATTAGGATTCCACTCGAGCGATGGCCCGCATTGCGCGTGATGTCACTCGAAGGCCTCCTCAATGGCGCGTATGCCCGATCCATCTCCATTTCCTCCTACATATTTGTTAAGCAATAGGTCCTTGGTTGCTAATTCTTTCTGGCTGACCTTTTGATCTTCAGTATGGAGTGAAGACAGCTGTTGATGAAAGTCCATAACTTGTTGAAAATGCTTTTCGTGACGCGCTGGTCAAGTTTCTGACCCATATAAAAGAAGTGACTGACTTCACATTTGTGTTGGAAATCCGAATCTTGTTCTTTATGCTGATTGCAGAAGGGTATCAACCGCATATCTTAACATTTTGTTATTCTTAAGTTTTATTATTATTTTGTAAGTTGTTAATACTCTAAGATGCTGATCATTACACTCCAGTGACGTAATCATGGTAAATATAATAGTTTGACAGGAGGTTAATTATATGGGCTTGGATAATAAATAGATCGGTGGTAACGTATCTGACTGTATCACTAGATGGCATAGGTTCGAATCTCTCGGGGAAGGGGATGCATTGGTTCCTTCCAAGTTAAAGATACACCCTGCTGACGAGTATCAATGCATAGGCACTAAACTTAGGCGGTCCAGGTGCTTCTTACCGATTGCCTTCAATCAACTAAGAACATTTTGACTGTTGTCAGTGTTGTAATTAAGAAATGAATTCATAAATATAAATACTGGTCCCCTGAATATGGGGAAGGTTATGTAATCCACTGTCTCGTCATTTTAGAAAAAAGCTTATTGCACCGACCGATAAATGGCTTTATAAACTCAGAAGAATTATCAATAACTTTGAAAATAACGTTTTGCGAAACTGAAATCCCTCACTTCATAGCACTTTCTCCTTTCCTTCCACGCTTTGCAGTCCCATTAGACACCGATTTCTGATTGGTTGTTTTATTTTTGGGTCTCCCAACGGCAGACATTAACTGTTAACATTGGATGCAGAAAATTAGGATTCATGAGCTACTGAACTCCACCCGGTACTTGCCTTATAACGTGAACAGCCGTAGACTTCAACGAAACTGTTGTCCACATACTCTTAGGTTTTGAATGGTTCTTAAACTGTGACGGTCGGTTCATCACGAAACCTATTTCAATCTATATCCGTTTGAGATTACGTGAAACACGAACCGAGCTTCTTCTAACATACTCTCCCTTCAAGGCGAATATTCAGCGTTCTTTGCAATAATCAAAACTATCGAAGTAGTTATTAAATCATTAAAATGAATGTAAATATTGATGTCATCGTATAATTGAAAGGTAAATGAATGAATGCATTACTCACTTATTAGTTGATAGTAATACATGATGTTTTATCATAATTTTTCTTTTTTTTTTTGATAAATCTAGATTTATAAAGGTTATGTAGATGATCCACGGAATACAGACAACGCATGGATGGAGACAGTGGCAGTGAATTTTCATGATGAACAAGGCGATTCTTTAGCTTTGTTTCCTTTGACTGCAGGTAAGATAATACACACTGGTGAGAATCTGTGTGTTAACCCTTCATCGCATAGAACAGATCCTTTGAATATTTGTAAATATGTCCGCCCACACGACTGGATGGATTCAACATAGAACTTGGCACCGAAGTGCAGCAGTTCCAGTTGCCACGTTCCAAATAGCACACAAAGGCAGACAAGAAGATGAGTGAAGAGAATTAAAAAAGTTTCGACAAGTATAAAAGTGAAACAGAATGAGTAATGGTAGAAAGGAATATGAAGGTTAAAGAGACTGAATACATCTGCGCCATTGACAACGATTTTGAGCCATGTCACCTATTGTCTCCAGCCATTGATTTTTAGAGTCCCCAACCCGGAAGTCTGCATCTCCCTCCCTACCTGACTCAGTTTAACTGTCAAGGATTTCATGGATTGATGAGGCCATGTTTTTGTTTGGCCACCGCTTACTCTTTTCCAACCTGCACCTATATCAGCTAGTAATGCCCGACCGTCGGGGGAGGCGATGGTTAGGCATGCGCAGCACGTGACCTAGCCATCTCAATCTATGTAACCTTATAGCCTCTTCGATTGATTTTCCCTCTTTGGCCAACACTCTACGCCTAACGTCAACATTACTTACCTTATTATACCACCTAACGCGAGAAAGAGATCGTAGACATCCATGATCAAAAACATTTAACCTTTTCATGTCTTCAACTCGTATTGGCCATGTTTCAGAGCCATAGAGAAGGACGGAGCGAACTGATGAGCAGTACACACGTCCCTTGGTTGACAGCCGGATGTCATGCCTACGCCAGAGGTGGTGTAAGTTAGCGAAAGCAGCCCGAGCTTTTTGGATCCCCCCACACGACTATCAACTATAGAGTGACGAGTAGTTTATACCTCTGATGAACGCGGCGCCAAACCGGCGAAACGGCTTTCCAGTGTTCAGGTCACGTCGATTTCGCGAGCAGTCGCTACTGGGTTGTTCAGTGTGAACGTTATACAACTACTCATCGCCGTCGATAAGTAGTATGTATCGATGTTTGAAAGCACAAAACTTCTACCATGAATTGACGTCGTTTGAACGTGCATTGAGTAGTTTAGAGTTCTAATCTATAATATCACTGTGAATGATCCCAGTAACTTCATTAACATAATGAGTTATTGAGAAACATTTCCATCGACCAGTAGTACTTGCTATCGAACTAGATTAAAGGAATGCAAATACTGAGAAGCCGTTTCATTTGTATTGCAGTGAGTCTGTAAATGGTGTATCCGATTTGATGCAGAGTAGTAGAGAGCAGAATTATTCGAAAACTACCCAAATTCTGCTTACCTACAAGGGCTACTTTGATTCTCGTATTTTTGTGTATAATTTCCACGTATTTAATCTATGCAAGTTAAAAATCCTGAGACAATAAAGTACCTAATAGGATTGCATTGAAACAAAACAGCATTTTTTCTTACGCAAATACAAAGATATGCTATGCTTTTCTCTATATGATATATGCACTTTAAAACAAGGAGGTTAATTGGAACAGAATTTGGAGTACTACAAATAAAAGTTGATGCGATACGAAACTTCAAAAGAGAGTTTATGACTAACCTACAGTCATTGACTTCAAAGTTTGATCCTACGTTCTGGACTGACTGTTCTTTCAAGGCGGACAGCATATCACGCTCGAATACAGGTGCGACAACTCATATATCATTACTCAACAGTCACATGCATGTGATAATCAGTCAGGGTTATATTTTATGAAGGCTGATGATATTGCTTAATCATCCAGAACGTAGATGTCAGTTTAACTGCTATTGCTTTTACCGATATGGTTTTATTTCCAAATAAGTTTACACATGACTTCAATTTTAGTCTTCTTCGTTGTATATGACAGTGTGATATATTTTGCTTACAGGCTAACTCTGTTTTAAAGAGCACATTCTTCCAGACCCTACATGTTATATGTAGTACTGACCACATTTGCCTAGTCTACTTAAGTCACCTATCATATGTGTCCCCGCAGACGACCTAGCACGGCGAAGGGTGGATAGACTTCGGTTTTCCTCTCGAAATATAACCTCAGGTAATCAAGCGTTCATCACAGCCTCTACCGAATAAGTTCTATTCACTGCCTTCACGCGGTGGAATTGTGTTCCTCATAAAGGTGAATGCCAATGTCTAACGCTTATTATAACCGAACTGATGGTGGACACGTTAGTCTACCTAAAGGAGCTGGTAAAAACCCCAATTCCAAACCTAATAGACACCAGAATCCAATGGTGCATGAACTTGTTTTGATTACAGGAAACAATGAGAAAAGTAGCTCCTAACGCTGCCCTATCATAATGGCTTGTGGATCAGACTTTAAATAGTCAAATGCTCGCGATGGTTTGGCTCCTGAAGACGACAACCACTTGCTGTGTGACACACTTCTTGGTGCACACAATGTACGAAGTTTATGTTTGTTTTAATAATAATAATCAATCGTCTGTTGCTAACAGTACTACTATTTAATAATAAAGTAATATCAAGTTAACCCCGGAATATTTCAATTCGTTCTCGATAGGTGTGTAGTACACAGGTGTTATCCCTATAATCGTTACAGAACGTAAGGCTTAACTGTTAATCACAGACACCAAAGAGTGTCTGTTTGTGTTACTCAACTACAATTATGCGTATTTCTATCCAGCTGGCGCACACTTATTCTCTCTGTGTGACTGGTGTCCAGACTCGTAACCACCCTCGAGTAGCTCGAAGCTGTTAGCCAAACGCCCAGACCAGTGAGTGAGTGAGTTAGCTAGGGGAATGACACACACAGTTTACTCTTCGACAAAATCTTGACAACACGTATATACAGATACACAATTCTTCTATGTACACATATTTATATTTATTTTGAAATATTATTCTTTTGTAGTCTTAATTAATAATTTTTAAAAAAAAAACAAAAAACAAATACAGCATTGTTTTGTTGTTATTATTACAGGTGATGATGCAGACGCCGTCAGATGGACAGACATCAGTTCTGAACTGCGCCTTTATGCAAGTCATCGTGATTTCATTCAACTGGTGGCCAGTTTAAGAAATGCAAAATGGTGATATTATTTTGTTTGTTTTTTATTAGAAAAAAAGAGACTACTACTTATTTCGCTTAATTAATTTTAAGTAGTATATGTGTATACAAAGCAAAAGAAAGACGAGAAACAAGAAAAAAAGTAATAACGAATTGGAATTCCCTGAGAAATGATGATTTCTGCACATCTTTTTTTGATATTATATTTTGTAATATTAGAAAAATTCAAAAAATTTACATTTATTCTCTGTTTTTTTACATATACATATCAGTACATAATAATAATAATAACATACATTCACATATTATGTGTGCTTTAGTGGGGATGTCAAAATATACACACGCACACATACACACACGTATCGGCTAAACTGTTGTGAAATCACCTGAGATTGTGTGTATGTGTGACGGAGGGAGGAAGGGAGGGGAAGAGGGCTGACGGACGACGACGACAGGAACTCAAAGAACAATGGAGTCTTTCTTTACACGGGGAAGGAGGATAGGATGAAGAAATTTTGACGTTAAACGTTCAAAAAAGATCAAAATAAAATCATCATGCTAAAACGGTTAGAAAAAAGAAATTTTAAAAGGACATAGGGATTAAAAATCGGACCGGGTGGTTTATAAACATGGGAGGGGAAAGTGATAAAACATAAGAGATAAAAGCGCGCGCATTCTTGGATTATTATTGTTGATGTGTTATTTCAAAGAAAGTAGTCCGGAATCGGTCGACGGGCTGGTATACTACGAACGTCCTGTTATATAAGGAAAAAATTTGAAAGAAAATTAGCTATATCATTAATACAGCGCCACAGTGAAGAAATAAAAAACCGCATCATTCCTTGCAAGCTCATAGTGACTATGTTTCCAAATGCCCAATGACTAACACTACCCACCCGCTTAGTGTTCAAAAATATGAGGCGTATTGGACAGATAGCCAACCGCTGCTGCCTTGACGTGTTGGTTGCGTTTGCATATGCTACAATGATCCAACGAGTTACATCGAATGTTTCTCTATGTCCTACTATACCAGAAATGTAGTTCGAATAGCCACTAAACTACCAAAATAACAGTGTAATTCGTCTACAGTATGTTGCGGATCTGAAGGAGCAGTGTGTGTTCCCTCCAGGCGATCAACTAAGCTGTCTTTGGGGAGGGGGGGGAGTTTAGGGGATACCTTTTTAGAAATTCTACACCACGCCTTAACTTGTGCAAGTATTTAGTCACAACTACAAAACCTACTTTGATTAGACCACGTGTGTCCGGTCCATGTTGTCCGAGGTACTCAATACTACACTAACGCTTCCTCTCTGTATCAGGTATTTTAAGAAGAAATCAATTTCCACGATGTCGGCATTTGGGAAGTAATAACGACCTGTACACACTTCCAAAGCCAAAACAGACCAAGTCTTTCAAATCGCACAGTACTATGGCATTAACAAGAAGAGTCTGGAACATATTTCCCGGTTTTTTTTATATATCAACTAGATCTAGTGACCTGAATATCAACCTCTGTCTTTGCCTACTGAGTAAGAGTGATGGGAAACTTCTTAAAGAACATGATTTCCATTTACTAGTTAATGCCAACAAGCAGGATATCTATCTATGATGAATATAGTCTAGCACCAATAATGACTTATTTCTTAAAGCTTAGTGCCAATTCTGAGCGCACAACAGTAACCTACACCAGATCGATAGATTTCGATAAACACTTAGGAGTAAACAAGTAGTCTCATCAACATATGATAGTCAATTCGTACAAGAGATAATGTAATTGTCAGTGATCTCCGCTCTGAATTAGATGTGAAAATTACTGGCAGGCAGCTGAGGAAATCAGTAACTGTAATCATCCACCCTCTACAATTACATCACATATGAATAATGTTGGTTCATACTTATAACTGATCTAAAACTAATTTGAAGTCGATGAATCAGTTGTACTAAGAGCAGAAAAAGTTAGCCATCATAAGTCTGAACCAACTACCACTATTATTTTAATCTCAATTGAAAAGCTATCCTGTTCTGGAAACACAACTAGCGCCATAACTTGCATAACCTGGTTATTTCGACGCATACTTATGCTCTCCCTTATCAACCTTCCCCTAGTTGTATACGTTTAAGCAAGCTATCAAACAAAGGCTGGCTGACGCATTAGTGTAGATAGCACTATATTGCTTTTCCAATCTACTTACCGCGCGGAATAATGCTCTTGTCCACTCAAAGTAAAATACTAAGTCGCCTCATCCTGGAGAGAATAAAGGATGCACTGGATACAGAACTCAATCCGCCCAAAACAGGATGGATTCAAGAAAGGCAAATCATGTGCGGATCAAATTGCAACTCTACGCATCATCATCACAGAACAAAGCAGTCAAACTTCTATCTCAATTTTATCAACGTTGAAAAGGCTTTCAATAGCGCTGACCACGAAGAAATTTGGAAAATACTGCAACACTATGGAGTACGGATAAAGATACTAAAGCCAGCCAGGATCGGAAAGGTACAGTTCACCTGTATCACTTCTAAAATCAGTTTGGAAATCTTCCACACTCAGAATAAAGAACAAGGTTCAGATGTTCAACACAAAAGTTAAGTCACTTCTTCTATATGGTTCAGAATCTCGACATGCATGTCACGAGAAGCATTTCCAACAGGTTGCAATCTTTTATCAACATCTGCTATATTCACTGGCTCCAAATTTGAAGATCAAGTGGCCAGCCAGCCAGGAGGAATTAGCAACAAGAAACTCTGAGAACAATCTAAACCAAGATGGACTGGGCACACTCTGCGGAGACCATCGGTTGATGTCGCGTGCAATGCAGGCCATCGCTCGAGTGAAACCCGAGTGGGTCGTTCGAGGGTGACATAGAGATTGTGCGAGGAAGAGATGAGAGACCAAGGGTAATCAATTGTGAACCCAACCAAAGAGGGCAGCAGAAAATAGGACAAAATGGAGACGTGCTGTTGAAATCGTATGTTCCACTGGGAACAATATAATAATAATCTACTCACCAACTTCCAGTGTAGAATTAAATAAAACAAAATAAATACATGCATAAAAGTTTCTGATGCTTACTATCACACAAAACATTAACGCAAATGACTGAAGCAAAGTTTTTTTCTGTATAAGAGATATGTGTTGCAAACAAAATAAAAACCAATTGATAGATAGATAGATATGTATAAACTCACTTGTGGTGCAGCTTCGAATATTGAGAATTCTTTTTCTAGCCGTTCACTTAACCGTAAAATAGCAGCAACATTTCCACAACGATAACAATAATTTGGTGCTGACCATACGGTGAGAACACTTTCATGAAAATGCCAACGATAACCTTCCATAACTAATTGATGAGCACGACAAATAAAGTCGATTCGATTCAACTAGGTGGGGGAAATGATAAATATGTATTAGTGGTTTTTAACACGTAGAATATCTCACGATATGTCAAACAGCTTTTTTAAAGTAGCATTTCATGACTGGAATTACTCTTTAAGACTAACTGACAGTGGATGCATATATATGGTTTCATCATCGAATTTAAGCAAAACACAAATAGTGAGTTCGAGATTTTAGCAGGTGTATATGATTCCAGAATGCGTATTGATCACAGGCTTTATCGTATTTATGACTTTTCTGTAAGTGTCCCAACCTCGACTAATGTACTTTGGAGTCGACTTTAAAGTTAGTCAGTCACTCCTAACATAATCAATCAGCGATCATATTATCAGAAACATCTGAAACAGAATATCTCAAAACGAGTCTCTATCTGCAGTAACCTCCCAAAATACATAAAACTTTAAAAGGTTACACTATAGTACTTTTTAATAATAATAATAATTTCCTTTATTCCAAAACAGTACTTATGATACAGAATGGAATTCTCAGCATTTTTACGACAGTATTGCATCCAGTTAGTACATTATCAATAAATTAAATTCTACATAGATTAAGGAAAATCTCAGTTCATTATTACAACAACACATTGGCATGTCGGTAGCAAAGGTAAAGCCGAAACAGTGTTTGAAGGTGTTAGAAAAGTGGGAGCTGTCATATTCACTGGCGTAAGCGAGAGAAAGAAACAAAACAGCACATAACGGAAAAAAAGAGAGAGAGAAGAGGAAAAGAAAGAAAGAAAATGTTGCATGAATGCATGAATTCGTCTACAAATTTAGCTGTTCATAATTGACACTTTGAGTTGCAACTGTAAAAAAAGTGAAATTTCGCGTAAAACTTGAAGCATAGTGAGAGCCACCACATCCCTACCTACAAGGTGTGTACTTGACAATCAAATGTTTTGAACAATGATGACATTAGCAGCATGCTGTGATCAGAAATCTTATCATGTTTGGCCGGCGATTCACTCCTGTTAAGTGTAAGATGACAATGCAGGATTGCTGCGCATCGACTCCCAGCTCAAAGATAGAGAGTGAAGGGAGTGGTGGTTGACACCACTTCACTTATTTGAGAAGTTGCATGAGCCCCCTGATGAAATCTGAGCATGGATACAAAAGGCTCATGTGGCACTTGCGAGATTACGTCGTCTCTGAGTGTAAATGTGATATCCGGCTATCGATCAAAGGACGTGGGTATTGTGAAACAGTTAGCTTTGTCCTTCTTCATGGGTGTGAGACATGGTCATTGAAATTGGAAGACATGAAAAAGCTACCCGTCTTTGATCACATACATATGCGTTCTATCTCCCGTGTTAAGTGGTAAAACATGGTGAGTAATATTAAAATTAAGCATAGTGTTAAGTAAGGAGAGTAAGTCCATCGATGAGGTTGTGAAGGTGGATCGAATGAGATGGCTGGGACAAGTGTTGCGCATTGCGAGCTATCACTTCCCTCGACGGTCAATGTTGGTCAACAAAGGATTAGGTCGGGAAAGAGTTAGAGATGGTCAGACAAAAACTTGGCATCAATCCGTGAAGCCGCTGGCAGCCGGTATGAGGCATGTCGGAAAGTGTAGACTGCCTAGTTGGTGACCTTGGAACTAGCATTCGTGCCAGCGTTGACCACTACACTTATTTGGGAAGTTGCATCAGCCCCAACGGGTTGATCACTGACGAAATCTCAGCTCGAATACAGAAGGCTCGGTTCGCATATGCCAAATTATACCATCTCTGTCTTAGGTGACATGATATCCGCCTAGCTGACTGCCGACCAAAGGGTGTGTGTACTGCTCATCAGTGCGCTCCGTCCTCGTTTATGGCTGTGAAACATGGCCATTGAAAAGGAAAGACATGAAAAGCCTGGCTAGCTGTCTTTGATCATAGATGTCTGCGTTCTACCTCCTGTGTGAAGTGGTATAATAGGGTGAGCAATATTGAGGTTAGGCATCAGTCGCGTGCTAGGTACGGAGGGGAAATCAATCGATGAGGCTGTGAAGCTAAATCGATTGAGATAGTTAGGATATGTGTTACTCATGCCTAGCCATTGCCTTCCTCGACAACAGGCAATGTTAGCTGACATAGGGTCAGGTTGGAAAAGAGAGAGCCAGTGGTGGTCAAACGAAAACATGACTTCATCAGTCAATGAAATCCATAACAGTTTCAGCCAGTCAGTCACGTAGGAAAGTGTAGAATTCCCGTCTTGCTGGGGTCCTCGGGACGGTAAACACCAATATAGCTCAAAATCGTTCTCAATGACAGCGTAGATGCATCCACTCCTTGTGACTTACAATACTCAATAAAACTATATTGTTCTTCGTTATTACTATTCTTTTTGCGTTATATCTCTGTTTACTGTCTCTATTTTGCATTTCTTTTTTACTTTCTTCCCTTTCTTTATGTGCTACATAGAGTGTGACGACTCGAACTGCTGCACATCGGTGCGAAGTTCTACGTTGAAACCAGTCAGTCAGTCCTCGGAACTGATGGTTGGAGATCACTGGTGATATGGCTCAATATAGCTCTCAACAACACTACCGATGTATTCACTCTCCGTGATCCCTCGTATCCCCTAAACCGTCATGTTTTTCCATGCTGCTATTCATCACCCCCCTCCCCGTATTTTTGCTTATTATAGTCTTCATCAGTCGTTTACTCTCTCTCTCCTTTTTCCAACTTTGTGAGCTAAATGGAATGTGGCAACTTGAACTGGTGCACTTCTCTGTGCTAAATTCTATAGACTGGCTGAATGAAGACATTACAGCATATACATATAAAAGTATAGTCGAATTTGTATTCTGGACCGTGTCGTAAATTAATATTAACGAGGTATAATAACATCGAGATTCACTTATCGTGATGAAAATCACAAGTAGTACTGCTACTGTTCTTTACTGACCACCCAATAGTTTGATAATGACTGCCACTAATTTAAGAACTAAGTAGGCCTACATTATGTTTCATGTGATTAATTAGTGATTTATTATTCCTAATAAGGTTAGTGTACGGCTTCTCTATATGCATCAGGTGGTTAATTGAAACTGCACATAATGTTACCTTCCTATGTGCACACGTGATCACAAAGCCTTTATGCATTTAACTACTAAATACTTCACACGTCCATTGACCTTGACCTGAATAGACCAGAAGAAGTATTTATACTCACATATTTAACCAATGAAATATCTAGTTTAAAAAATTGAAACATCTCAAAAAAAACTATCATTACAGTTAGAAAATAAAATGACACGTTTTGCTGTAGAATGGACAATCAAACAGAATGACTGGTTTCAACACATAGAACTTTGCACAAATGTGCAGCAGTTTTAACTGCAACTCTCCATGCACCATACAAAGTAAAAGAAGAGAGTAAAGAGAGACCCGAAAGAGATATAATAAACACAAGTTTGAGTGGGGGGAAAAGAACAGTAGTCATCGGAAAGAAGAAGAATGTTTTATTGGATATGACAAATCACAAACAGTGAGTGCATCTGAGCCAGCCATTGACAACGCTTTTGAGTCCTACCACCATCAATTGTCGTCAGCCTTCATTGGTTCTTACCACCCTAAGGACCTCAACCAGGAAGTCTACACCTCCCTACGTGGCTGGCCGGTTGGCTTAAACTAACTGTTATGGATTTCATTGACTGATGAAGTCATGTTTTCGTTTGACCACCAAAAGCCTTCTCTTTTCCAACCCGCCATTACGTCAGTTAACATACGCCGTCGAGTAAGGCGATGGCTAGGCATGTGTAACACATGTCCTAACCGTCACAACGTCGTCGGTCGATTTTCGCTCCAAACTAGAACTCGATGCCTACACTCCATTGGCCATGTCTCGTTCACATCCATAAAGGAGGATGGAGAGAACTGCGACTGAGTAGTACACACGTCTTTTGGTATACGCCAGAGACGGTATAATTTGGCAAATGCTAAACGAGCCTTGTGTATCCGTTCTGAGATTTCGTCAGCGATCAACCCGTTCACGCTGGTTGATGCAGCTTCCCAAGTAAGTGAAGTGAAGTAGTCAACACGTTCCATCAACCACTTCATTCTTTATCTTTAAGATAGGGGTGAGTCAATGTAGTTCAGTCCTGTAGCATCATCTTACATTGGACAGCAACAAACTAGCCACATCGTCACTGGCAAAGACAGGAAAAACACTGACAAAGCTACACCAAAGACCTTTAAAAAAAGTATTCAGTTTAAACAGATAGGAAACAGGACTAAAAGAAACTGACTTATCCAGTGTTCCACTATTTTAATCGAAAACTAAGTGGAATGATAATTTAATTTAGCTGTGATATTGCAGTAGATTCATGAGACATTTTAAAATTCAAAAGGTTACTAAGACACAAATGTCAAAATAAACATAACAGACATGATTATAACGCACATTTCATGTGCTACTAAAAGGCACCAACTAATATAAACAGCATTATCATCAATCAAAATAAAACTTTAAAAAATATGTTAGAATTTTTCTTGAATACACATATAAGTATCTTACTTACCTGATTAAAGTTGGCTACAACATCCGAGCCAAATAAATAACCAGCACCTCTAGGACTAACACCCCAACCGGCTGTTTCTTCAGGATCAGACCATAAAAGATCACACATTGGACCATCATGAGGAACCTCTTGTTTTCTATCGATGGTACGAATCTGATCTAAAGTTGTGATTGTGGGTGACAGACCACCATGAACGCAGAATATCTTTAGAAATAATTAAAATTTATGTAATTGTTTTTGAACTGTAAATATTGCTAGTAAATCGCATATTCTCCGAAATATTAATAAACTATCTACGTAAAGTTATCCTAAAGAAAAAAAATCTCAATTTTTCTATTCATAAAACAGAATACACAACAGAATATACCCCTGAAGGCCTATTCGGGACTCATCATCTAGATGTAACTACATTCCCCAGTGAGTGATAGTATCCCCACCCCACTGAGGTTTGAACCCAGTACCTATAGTTTCACATACACCTGGATTCCACGACGCTAGTCACCATCCACCAATTTACTTCAAATAATCAAACATCGTCGAATAATAATAATAATAATTTTTGCTTTATTCCAAAAACAGTATTAATGATACAGCAAGGAATTTTCAGCATTCAGTACAATATTGCATCTAATTTACTCAAAAACGACAACAACAAAAAATAAATAAACGTAATAATTAATACATAATAATGATAACAAAACGTTTTTATAGCAGCTATGTAGCAATTACAGTATACGATAAGGAGAAAAATACGCATAGAGTATAAAATTATAGTAATAATAGTAATAACAACTAAAATAAAAATAGCAAAGTTATAATTAAACGATAGAAGTGTCTGCACAAGGAGACGACATGTCAACCTGAGGCTGAGCACTTCAGTGCAATCAGTCAACAGGAATGTACAAATTGAATAAAAGAATAAACAACAATTTATACCTTTTAATCCTACAACACATCTCTAAGACAAAAGGTGAACCAAAAACCCTAATGAACCTAAAATTATTCCCGAAAGACAAAGATGTCGTCTCGTAGTAGTAGGAAAGGTAATATACTTATCAATGCGATAAGCTACTTAGATAACTCACCAGTTTACTTCTCTATATGCAATACAGACTTTAAATGATAACGATGTTTAGAAAATGCGTCATTTGTCAGATTGTGAAAGTTAAGTCATAAGTTTTATACAGTTTAAGGTCACATGTTTAGCAGTCTAATGACACTTAAGAGGTCAATCATTTATTTACAATCTTTACTTTACAAAACAAGTAGTTGGTGATTTCAAAATCTGGAGGATACTCTCACCAGTAATGAAATGTTTTCTCAGCTCCTTCGGTTATTGCCACTTAGTAGTCGAAGGGTGCGTCGGTGGTACAGCGGTAGAATGCTCGTCAACCACGCCTCACGTGGTCTGAGGTCCAATCCCTCAATCGAAACACTCTTAAACCTCGCCTAGCTTAGAGAGATCGGTAAGGCGGTAATGTTGGATTTGGGGTTAGCCAACTCACCCTATAAAAATAAAACCCACTGCTAACGAAGCTTTAACTTGAAGCCTTATACTCCACTAGGAACGTAAAGGAATAAAATAATAAACAAATAAAAAGTAGTCGAAAGAGTTCTTCTTCAGCCTGTTATATATGTTTATTTTATTTGAAGAATATTTTTTATTAAAGAAATTAATCTTTCTTTTTAATAACATCGAATGACTATGATCAAAAAATTCAGTTGTACGTGAGTAAATTATTACCAGACTACTACTGTCAAGAACACGTGAACAGGATAATTAATGCACATTAATAATGGCACTAAATAGAATGTCGGATATTAAAGTTTATGGTCATAAATGACAATGAATGAATGTACCAGTTAATGCTTCTAGATTAATCTTCAAAAATGAATTTTATTCGTTTTGATTATATGAACAAGTATTAAAATAAAAAACAGGAAAAGGAAACAGAGTAGGAAATTATGCATATCAGTCGGTTTGTAAGTGAACATAAATTAAGAAAACAGAAGATTTATTCATACGAGTGTAAAGATACGAAGTTAAATGAATTAGATGAATTTTATTGAAATGCGGGAAATGTACACGTATAAAACGAAGGCTGGCACCTTGGAAGTATGACACAATACACTATTTCAGAATTTATAGATTCTACAGTGGTTGGACTTGTTGGTTTTTGCGCACATGATTCCAGCTGAATTGATTTCGTCAGCTTGTTAATTAGAAGGTTTAATCAGACATAGAATTGCTTGCTGTTCGCGGAGGTAATACATTTCTTCTCTACATTTGGTAGCCATATACTTTCATACAAACTTATCTGGACAGTTATTTTGAAGTATGGCCATTATATACAGATTTCACAGTCTAACCTCATTTACATCTTCCGAACATACAGCTCTCATTCTCGTGTCGGAGGGGAAAGGAACTGGCAATATATATACTATCGGGTCCAAACAGTTCTCACGAGAGTACCTTTTCATAGTACCATCTGATATTCCTGCAAGAAAAAAATCAAAGAGATTTCGCCCTAGGATGTAGATCACAATAAAGTGGGTAATTATTGTGAACCTGTCGAAAACGTTTTCATAATCATACCATAACTAATGCATGTGTATGACTGTAGAAGTTGAAGGAATTATTCAAAGAAAAGTACTTTGTTTACCACTTAGTATTTTGATTTATAATGGTTATTTTTATACAAGTCATTGGAATTCTTTAGTTCACAGTTTAAAATTCTTCATCTCTTATTCACTGCAACTGCAGCTTACGGATATCCAAGCCCGACCACTAAGTCAAGGTAGCAGTCATTGGTCTGGACGAATCTAGACAATGACTTTTGAGTCTGAATCTCACTCCAACTATTCTAATTACGAATATTCAGTCATATGTATATATGCACTATTCGGAGACAGTTTCCAGGTTAGGTGACGCACAGTGCGGAACTTCTAGATATCAACAGTCAACTCCGTAATAAGGTTCAAATTTGCCTGACTTATTCAGGCTTTTTCAGGTATTTATACAGAAAGGATTGGTTGGGGGATGTTCTTTCAAAGAAACTATATTATAAATGCAGTCAGTGACTGACTAAACAACAAGAAATGAAGACGAGTTACAAATCCCGAACAAGTTAACAGCAGTGATGAGACTTTATGCAATGCAGTCTAACGTCATGACGATGCAGGTACACTGCATGCAAACTGTAGAAACTCACCTTTTGTATCACCAGTAGTCTGACCGTTTTAGCTTAACACTAGAATGCTGGAAACCAGAGCATCTTGCAAGAACTACTCGGATACGACAATTATTATTATTGCAGTACATTCGGGGCCAGAACGAGGAGATTCAAGAGAGCACCGGAACAACAGACAAACAACAAACAAACATGAATATATAACTTGGTACTACTGCTTAATACGGAGTCATTACACTGTATGCCTGTACATCAATAAGAGAGAAACATGAATTAAATAGAGAAGACTAAAACATACACAGATACTCTATGCCGGCGGTTAGACCGATGCTCGACTTAAATGTCTACGTATGAAACCACAAAACACTCCATCAAGCATCTAACTATCCTTATGAAGACAACGACTAATCCACAGTGTAGATTCGTGTGGAAATCACGGATGTGAAGTAGTACATGGAAATAAACAACTTATCCACAACTCAAATAAAAACAAGTTACGTTAAGTTTGAACTCAACAGACTAATTACTGCAGTGATGACATTCCAAAGCCTTAGCAACAGCTGGTTACCAGAGGAACAATATATAATAAACGCATAAAATGCCAATACTTGAAACAGAGAGATTAATTCACTACCCACCATTACACAACAGATGAAATCTACTACCAACGAACTTAAAAAAGAATGTTTCAGAGACATCAATAAATCACTTAAATTGATAGAGAGAAATTTATGGCGAAACAATGTCCACCAATAGATTAGTGAATTTAATAACACTGCAACCATACGGAACGACATACAGACCCACGTTATCCTTACGTTTTCCTTAACAAAATTATTCTTGTTGTAATGGAAATGTTGGCTAACTATTAGCATGATGTTAGTGGAAAAAATAAGTCCAGAACAAAATCACTTAAGTCACCTTTCATTCTGCCTAACTAGTTTTAATAAGCAACTTAACAAAACAACCAAAAAAGTGAGGCGATGTCGAATTGCTTTAATAATTTGTGGATATCGCAATTCTGTACTTGTCCTCAACAGTATGAAGAACAAACAAGAATATGAACACAAAACTTAACACTTACCCTCCCATCAATTACTGCGGAGAGGCATAAGTAATCAAATATCTCAGTACACTGCCTCCAGACCATTGCTGAACCATACTTCCTAAGGCATTCTTCATAAAATCCATACACCATAGTGATTTGACGACTTTCATGGTTCCCTCGTATAAGTGTTATTCTGTCTGGATATCTCACCTACACAAATTAGCATAACATAATAAAGTCACCTTCAGGGCAAGAAGAAGCAGGAAAGTCTCAACACTGTGGTAGCCACGGTCGACGAAATCACCCAAGAAAAGGTAATTCGTGTCTGGAACATCTCCACCAACCTTGAAAAGCTCTATCAGATCGTAAAATTGACCGTGAATGTCACCACAAACCTGCAGAAATAATGAGAATCAAGACAATAGCGTAATTTTAATTACAGTCACTGGTGAATCAACGCATTGAACGTTACTTTCTTCTATGAGGATTTCCCGAGCTTTCGCGCAAAGAGCTTTAACTTCATCTTCAGTAATAAGTTTACATGCCCTTAACTGTTCTATTTGGCGATCGAGATCACTCTGACCAGCCATTCGGGAACAAGTATCCCGCTTTTAATTCAAACCCAATAAAGCTCCATTCATTATTCAATTGTCATGTAGCTCTGTTATATAAGGTTGGCTAAAGGTCATACAACACCAAAGATCTAACGTTCCCAATCTTTTTAACTATCTGATACAAGTAAACACATTCTCTTCATTTGTTTTCTAAGTGATAAATTCTCATGTTTTCAACGACCTGGTAAGAGCACTTTAACTTACACAAAATTAGAACTAAAGAACATTCCTCTCTCTCAACTTCAAGGGAACGAAATGTGACGATTTTTGGTCCCTGATGTGTTCTTCGCTTATTTTCCCATAACAGGAGTAATTACTATGTGTTTCAATCCTAATAAGTACAACGCGCGAACTTTGAAAAAGGGGTGTTTTACAAGCTCTTGTTTAATTTTGACTTTCGTTGTGCTATACGCTCCAAAGGCCTAAAGATTAACTTTAACTCAGTTTATTCTGATCGGAGTTAGTTTACGTTTCAGTTTTGAGTCTATTTATCTATAGGAAGTTGTGTTCCTATAACTTAATAGTTATATATACCCATTTTTGTGCACTCATTGTCTTTATTACTGATTGATGAAGGTTATATATAAAGTCACATTTAAATATGATTGTTACTGTCGGCTCAAAAATGTATGCCGATTAGAAGGAACCGCTGTGGAAGCCTTATGTGCCAATATTCAGTTGGAGAGGGACTTAAGTGTGATAACTGCAAAAAATGGTTTCATAGCATGTGCACAAACCTAACTCCTGTACCATACAAGCGCTGCTGCAAACCTCTGGCGGAGTGGTTGTGCAATGACTGCTATATTACGACTAAGCTTCGCATAATGGGTGCCAGTGCCACTCTTAGTGGGGCTCTAAAGCTCATGGGCGAAGAGCGACTATGGCTTAGAAACCGATGACGATACTAGTGTCACCATCAAAACAGTACACGTTCCCGATGCGTCTCCGTCAATGAGTGAGTGCCCATCAGCACAGAAGAGCACCCACCATATTCCAGACACCCGTGCTGCCCCCGCGATACCGGATAAGCCCAGTGACAGTAATGGAAAGACTGGCACGAGGAAGAAGAGTACCAGGGGCTGAAAACCTGAAAAAAAGAAAGCCGAGATCACTTCCACAGTACCCTACTGAGGGTCGATTTTTTATTAAAAACGTACTCCATTCTGTTTTACGTTTCACATTATTTTGTTCCTGCATGTTGGTGCTTATATTAAATGCTAACGGCCTCTTTAATTAGCCTGAGATACTCTCATGACGGCACTACATATCGTCGTGAAAGAAAGCCTACTGTGCACATTCTTAAACCGTCTGTTTCTAGATATGAGAGACTAGACCATAAGATGCTTCACTACTCTGATAGTAGTTGTCTGCTATAGACTACTACTGTTACTGCCATAGAATTCCATTCCGCCCTCCCAGGAAATAGAAATAACTATGGATACTTCCTGCTTTCTTCGGCAAACAAGCATGAGAAAATGACGTATTAAATGCCTCTACCAGCGATTTATAATTACTGCTGATCACAGAAGAAAGTAACCTCGAGTATAATCCATCACGACCAAGTAACTTTTCAGGCTTCGAGTTAGTTATTGATTCTGACAATAATTCGCCAGAAAGTAAGTCGTATATATATGGTTTTAAAAAAAAATTATATCCGGTGAGGGAATTAGGTCAAAGGTGTGGATACATGAAAGTAAGTCATCCAAGGAAATTTGATAAAAGAATACAATTCAGTCACTGAGGTAGAGTTCAGTTCTATCACGCAAGTATTTGTCTACCATGGAACTGAAATATGTGTGAAGCAATTCAATAAATTCTCTTCTTTTTAATGAGTGATCCAGACAGTCCACCACCTTTAATAAGAGGTTCAAGTGCTCCACTGTTTTCTTTTATACTAGCATCTGATCTGCGAGCACAGTGTTTTTGGATCAGTCTATACAGGCATACACTATTTTGTATGTGCAGTATGACGTTATAAGATTTCAGATTCAAATTTGTTGGTTGAGGATAGGAGGCTTCCAGCCCACGTTGATCCTTTCCTAGTAAATATATGTGCATGTTCTTGAATGAATCGGTTGAGGTTGCAGAAACCACTTCTTCTGTCGCTTCCAAGAGTTTATGACTAGGTGTGAGAACCAGTACTCCACAGCAATATGGTCTCTTCTTGGCTTTTGAACTCACCTGTTATGTCGTCTAAGGTGTTCCGACACGGTGGGAAGGAAAAAAGAGAGTAGTTCAGGTCCGTAGTCATTATTTAAAATTTTAAACATTGTGATTAGGTCTTCTCTATACCCAGTGCATGAGAGGGAGAAGGTACTTAAAGCGTCTAGTCTTTCCTCGTGTGATAAGTTAGTCACACCGTGAACCATGCGTGTTGCCTTCCTTTGAACCGTTTCTAGAATGTGTGAACCCTCCTTAAGAAAAGAACTGGCGGCCTGGATGCAGTTTTCCAGTCTTGACCCCACCACAAGCTTTCACTACTCTCAAGTCTGTGTGGAGGTCAACAGCACTCAGCATCAAAATGAGAATAAGATCCGGATTTTCAACTCCAATGTGAAGTCAGTGCTACTATACGGATCAGAGACTTGGCCAGCGCGTCATAAAGAGCATCTCAAACAAACTACAGACCTTCATTAACAGTTATCTTCGCTCAATACTACTCAAGATCAGATGGCCAGAAAAGATCAGCAACAGGGATCTCTGGGAGCGAACCAACCAGGAACCGATTGTGAAACAAATAGGCAGGAAGAAATGGAGATGGATTGGCCATACTCTTAGGAAACAATGCATCAAGTGACATCACTAGACAAGCCATTGCTCGAGTGTAACCCGAAAGGGAAGCGGCGAGTTGGTCGTCAGTGCGTGGGTGAGTGACTTGGAGGAGGAGGTCATGTGAAGAGGAGATGAAAACGTGTGGGCAGACTTGGAGCCAGGTGAAGACTCTAGCAGAGAATCGAACGCAATGGAGACGCACGGCTGAAGCCCTATGTTCCTCCAGGAATTAAAGGAAACAATAATAATATTGGTCTAAGCATGGAAAATATGATGTTTTCGGTGAAGATATAGCTTTGTTCAAACATTGGTGTTATTGTGTTTTTAACCAAAGCAACCAGACTTAAAGCAAGCAAAAAATATGAGTAAAGAGCATGTTTCAACTTCAATAAAGGCCTAGGTAGTTAAGATCAGATGGAGTATAGAAATGTGTAAATAAAAAGATTATTGTGAGGTAGGTAAGTGATTTTTAAGTGAGGAGTGAATTCAAAGATCTGGAAGATTAGAACCCATAGAACAGACTTCATCTCTACCCAAATTGAGTATTAATTTAAAATAAGTGATATATTTGTGCAAATCTGTCAGCATTTTCATCGTGAATAACACCAGAAATGAACTGTACTCAGTGTAGACTAATATTGGTCATTGTCAGGCTGTTTTGTTTTACTGCGCGCAGGTCGTCCTCCATTTATCGAGGTGTGGTTGTTCCGCCCAAGTAAGTTGATTAACATGTAGAAGGCTATTAGTAAGCCATTTTAGATCATGTACGCTGCTTGTATAGGATGTTATACAGCGTCCTGATATGGTGACAGTGGAATTTTCAAGGATGTTAAGTTGTTGATAGCCATAACCTAGAAGAATGACATATAAGTAAGTGGCTTCAAGTCTTGTTCAACTTCAATCTTACTGTGGATCTGTGCAACCTCCACCACAAAGCAAACAGAAGAGGCAAACAGCAAAGTACCAGAGAGGAAAGAAATAGTATATGGACATGGATAGGACCTTGATGTTTGTGTATGTATTTATGTTTATATTCGTTGTACATTGCTGTCTAGTAAACCGATATATTTATTTCCACCCAGCCTTTTTATACATCTGTGCGACTACTCGGTTTATCGTTTATAGAGTAATTAGGGATGTTTTGCCCGTTTTTAGGAACTATAGTAAACTGGTAATTGACCCGTTTTAGAGATAAATAGTTTATTAATGTAATCAGTAGAGTGAAATAGTCTGTGCAGAGTGTTTGAAACTTGTAAACGAGGTGAAGGTTCTGACGTCTATGGGCAGAGCGTTCCATATTTTGGAATACATGACTGTGAAGAAGTTTCCACGGAGTTTCATACATTTGTTCCCCTTAATGAATTTGAACACAGCAACAACCACAGTTTTAGCAGAATAAAGTGGTACCACATTTTATTTCGTCGCCTTCTCTTCAGCTGCTTACAGGGGTGTTGATTTAAAGGCTTTTATTGTCACTGTGCAAGTTTGGTTACGTAGATAGTAAGACCTTTCCGGTGAGAATCGTATGTCCTTATTGTATAGGACCTTAAAGAAGAATACTAGGTTTATAATAAGTCGTCGCGTCCAAAGTGGGTCAAGATTTAGAATCATAAACCGTAAGATGGAGTCTTCCTTATAATCGTAGCCAATTAGTTTGGACGTGAAACATCGTTGGATACTTTCCATCCTCACCTTGTCACATATGCCAATGTTGCTAATAATAAATGGACAGTATCCTAGTGGTGGCCTTGCATATGCCTTGTACAGAATGAGTTTGGCTTCACTGTTCTGAAAGTTCTTGAGTATGCATCCTAAGAGAATCCTCGACTTTCGAGTCTGCGATGCCACTTGCTCAGAAAACGTTGGGACACTAGGGCCTGATTCCACGACACTTCGGAGTCTGGTTAAGTTAGCAGATTGAAGCGTTGATTTTATGTCGAATGAGGGTGCATCGAAAAAGATCCAACCGTATTTGTTCAGATTGAATTGTAGATTCTATAAAGAGGACCAAGCAGTCACTTTATCTAAATCATTCTGCACAACATTCTGGAAGTGCCCTAGGTCGTCCCACCGGAATGTATAAGCTGCTTTTAGGTCATCCGCAAAGATGAATGGTTTCCCATGTGAGAAGCAAGCGCATGTGTCGTTAATATATAGAGTAAATAGGAGGGCTCCAATGTCACTACTTTGTACTACATCAGAGGTGATTGGGCTAGGTTTCGAAGTTATAGATCCGAGTTTAACTATTTGGGACCTGTTGTTAAGGAATGATTTTAGCTATCCTAATAGTGGATCAAGTATTCCTAAGGAGTTCA